GTCCAGGCAGAAGATGATGATGATTCGGATTAGGCTTTAGGTAGAGGAGATGGAGGGAAGAAGATTCAGTAGATATTTTAAAATTAGGACAGGAAAGACTTAATGATGGATTAAATATATGGGACGAGAGTGGTATCAAGTATGATTCCCAGATTTCTGGCATGAGCATCTGGATGGATGAAGTTGTGATTTCTGAGTTGGAAACATTGGAAGAGGGTCAATTTTTGACTAGAGTTAGGGAGTGGAATGAAGGCCTCAATTTTACTCATACTAAGTGTGAGATGTCTCTGAAATAACACAAGTGGAGAGACATCAAGTGAGCAGTCTTTGAGTTAATGATGTTGGAAATAAATCTGGATGCCCCTGGCATAAGGGTGATATTTACAGCCAAGGAAAATGGATGAGATTACCCAGAGGAAAATGTATAGACTAGGAATAGAGGACCAAGCTTCAAGGAATTTGAGAGAAAATCTCAGAAACAGAGAGGAGCATGTTCCAAGAAGACAGTAATCACCTGTATTTTGTTGGACTTTTCTACACAAAGGTCATTGGTGAACATAGCAAGAACAGCGTTAGAGGAATGTAGGGCCAGAATCCAGACTGAAGTGGGTTTAAAACTTGGAAAGGGAGGAAATGGAGATGATCTGTGTATTCTGATTATTAGCATGTCTGTCTCCCCCTAAGAAGTAAGACTTTAAGAAGTAATATCATAAAGTCCCTGACGATAGCAACAGTATCTTTTCATTTTGGTGTTCTTGGCTACTTAGCCTTGGTATCTTGCGGGGAGGTGATATTAAAGCAGAAAGAAGTGAGGGAATGAGGATATTTGCAAGATGGTGAGACAACGGTTCTCATGGTCTTTATATGTGGCCTCTGACTTTAAGGGTTTATGTTGTTTTCAGCTTTGCTATCATTAGCCTTTCTATTTTCACCTACCTACCTAATGGGTCTTTTCTATTTTGATATTATTGGCTTTTAAGGTTCATTCCTTACTTTAAAATTTTTCTTACTGCTTTCCTGTGGTCATTGTTGCTGTAGTTAATTAGCTGATGTGCTTGGCTATTTACTTTATCTCTTTTCATTCACCTATTTATGTGCTCTTATTTCCACATAGGATGCTGTATAATTGTGACTCTAGATTTTATTTTGGTTTCTATTTTGTTTCTCATTTACATATTGTTTGCTTAAAGTCTAACTGGCTATATTGAGGTAATATTAAACATTTTGGCTACCATTCTATCTAGAATTTTATATGCTGACTTTCCTGGGAAAGGCTAAACATTTTATGATAATTGTCCCCATTAGTTCTCCTACATTCTTTTTTTTTATTTTTAAATAATTTATTGAGGTAACATTCACATAATACAAAATTAACCATTTTAAAGTGAATGATTTAGTGGCATTTAGTACATTCACAATTTGTGCAGCCACTTCCTCTATCTAGTTGCAAAATATTACTGTCACTCCGAAGTAAAACCTTTTCCAGTTGAGCAGTTTCTTTTCATTTCCCCCCTTCCACCAGACCCTGGAAACCAGCAATCTGCATTCTGTCTCTATGGATTGATCTATTCTAGATATTTCATATAAATGGAATCATCCAATATGTAACCTTTTGTGTATGTATATACCATAATTTATCCATTCATTTGAACTGTTTCCACCTTTTGGATATCATGAACAGTGCTGCTGTAAATAGGCATGTGCATGTACTTGTTTTCAGTTGTTTTGGGTATGTACCTAGAAGTGGAATTGCAGAGCCCTATGGTAATGTAGTTGTTAAGAATCTTTCTAAACCATGGGGATCAAAGCCAACATCAGCAGTTTATATAGTGTGTGATGTGAGAGCTGTCGACTGGGCTTAGATTGGGATTGAGAATCTCTTTCCTGTATGTTTAACTTTTTGAGGAATTGAGTTCTCCTAACATACTGGTTTTGTTACTTGTATTGTACTGAAGGGATAATTGAAGTACAGCATCTGCATAGTTTTAACTTCCTATCATCTTCAGAGCAAGTCAGTGATGGAGCTGAGAATTTAAGACTCTTAATCATCTTCTTTGTCTTGGTGACCCATTTAAGGCCATGTTGCATTCACAGGAAGCTGTTTGAAATGGGCTTTCTATATTTTATAATCTCTTGAAGGGATATTGTGGAGGTGGTGTTAAACAGATGTTCTCTTTCCATAGTGGACAAGACAAGAAGGAATGTATTTTAATTGCAACAGAAAGTATATAGATTACAGATTAGAAAGAACTTCCTGACTACAGGATACTGGAATGTTACTGAGGAAGACTGTGAAATGTCTTTCCTAAAGACTTTACAATTCTCTTTCTGGAATGACTTAGGTGTGGGCTTGTTAAGAAATGAGGAAGATGACAAACATAACTTGCTGAAGTACCTGGTAACCCTCGGAAATAGTTGAAGGTTAGTTGAACAGTATCCCTGGCATTTTAATGAGTATATTTTCATTTTCCTTATGAAGAAATAATCATTAGAGAGTAGGTGAATTGCTCAGGATCTCCTGGTAAAATAGAAGATTAGCACTCTGAATCTTCCTGGCTCCCTTGTCGAATGCTTAAGGATGTGTTCTTTATCATCACTGAGTCTTTTCATGACTGTATGATATATTATTGTTATGACTCTTCGTAAGCTGTAGGGATCAAAGCCAACACCTGCAGCTTCCATAGAGTATGTGATTTGAGAGTTGGCTGTGCTTAGATTGGGACTGAGAACCTCTTTCCTTTAAAAATATATTTGGTCTCCTGTTTACATGTAGACGAGGGAACACATTATCTGTAACAGACTAAGATAATAGATTCTTTTTGCATTTCTTTTTTTTTAATTGAAGTATAGTTGGATCACAATGTTGTGTTAGTTTCTGGTGTATAGCCTAGTGTTTAACAAATTCTTAATGACTAGTTTAGGAATGGCCAGTTTAAAATTGCTTAGGTGAAGGTCCACATGACATCAACATATTTTTGGCTTGTGGTGCCTGGAGAAATAGAAGCCCAGAAGATGAGCAAATGAACATTAGATTCTGTAGTAAAACATGAACATAAAAATACTCATTAAATGCAGTATTAAGTTGCCAATTTAAGTGCTCAGCTCAGGAAATGCCAAATTTAAGGTACTCAGAACAACATTAACTCATTCACCTGACACTTACAGTCTACATTAAGTTACCTCATAAGGGCTCTCAGGTCTATTATCAAAATTATGTTTTGAGATCCATGGGTCATTGACTGACTGGGCTAAGCTGGGAGGAGGCATTATATTGGTACCTTTAATGAAGGGTTTGTTAGGTTTGTTTATTTAAGTTGAGCTATGGAAGCATTTTCTTGTTTACTTCTCTGCTACTGAAAATACCATCAAATATATTTTATTGAGCTTTCTTGAATTGGTGACAACTGTTAACGCTGTGGGATAAAAGGGAGGGGAGCCAACTTTTGAATACTTACCATGTGCTGGGGAATTTGTATTTGTTCTTCCATGTAATATTTGTAAGAAGCCTGTAAAGTGGATGGTGGTATCTCTGTTGTAAAAAGTGAGAAAGTGATCCCTCTTGAGGGATCTCAGGTCTCTTATCAAAATCGTGCTTTGAGGTTCATTGGTCCTCATACAGACCGTGAATGACAAAGCTGAGATGGAGAAGGCAGTCAGTCTTCTTTCTGTATTAAGCCAGTGTTTTTCAAGCTGTGATTTTTGGAGGTGCCTAAGGGGTGGCTATGAGAGTAAGAAAGAGCTTTGGTTCTCCCTTTCTGCTTAAACCAGAGCAGCTCAACTTTGATCTGTTTTATATTTTAGTGTTTACACAGAAGATTTCATTTGGAAAAAGGGGTTTGCTTCTTAAAAAAAAGTTGGGAAGAAAAAAAGCATGGAAGACCACTTTCATGGAATCATGAAAGAAAATTAATTAAAACAGTCTGATGATTTAAAAGATAGCTAAATCGCATAACTGTCAATCAGGAAATTTTGTCAAAGTTTGAAGTGTCTTGACATCATAACCATATGTGCAGTGCAGTTATTCTGTTCTTAGGGAGCTTAGGACTCTGAGTTCTAGCCCAGCTCCAGAGTATCTGTGAGATCTGGAGATTCTTCTTTAAACCTGGTATGCATGAATATAACAATGTAACACCTATCTTACAAGTTGTTTTAAGGATAGGAAATAGCATGTAACACAGAAGACCTCAAATAGCCAAAACAATCTTGGAAAAAAGAGAATAGAGCTGAGGGAATCACACTCCCTGACTTCAGACTGTGCTACAAAGCTACAGTAATCAAAACAGTATGGTACCAGCACAAAAAACAGACGCATAGATCAGTGGAACAGGATAGAAAGTCCAGAAATAAACCCACGCACTTACGATCAATTAATCTACAACAAAGGAGGCAAGAATAGACAACGGAAAAAAAAAAAAGAATAGACAACAGAGAAAAGACAGTCTTTTCAATAAGTGGTGCTGGGAAAACTGGACAGCTACCTGTAAAAGACTGAAATTAGAACATTCTCTAACACCATATACAAAAATAAACTCGAAATGAATTAAAGACTTATGTATAAGGCCAGGTACTATAAAACTTCTAGAGGAAAACATAGGCAAAACACTCTTGGACATGTGGTTGGGCAGGTGCAGACCCTGGGCCCTGACCACGTGGTGAGCTGTTGTGCTGTTCCTGAGCTTCAGGAGTCACTGCAGTAGAGATCATGTGTGTCTTCCTGACACACATGCTGGCTCCTGTCACTGTCATGGCAGGACTGGAGCAGGAGGGGGAAGGAGATGGAATCACCTGTGGACCGCTTCAGAGTCACTTCCCTGAGACTTTGTGACTCACAGGTTGTAGTTCTGACTGGAGCCCATGAGTCCCTGGAATCAATTGTTGTCTATTTTGTACATGTAAATCTGAGAGCTAGTGTTTTCTTGGTTTGTTTTTTTTAATGGAGGAACTGAGAACTGAACCAGGACCACCTGCATGCTAAGCAGGTCTCTACCACTGAGCTATACCTACTCCCCCAGGACTACTTGGCTTTTTTGTGACCTCTGTTTAACTGGGTGAAATCAAAAGTTTCTTTGGTATCTTCCAATCCCCCATACCCCCCAAAAAAGGAAAAAAAAAGAAAACACTCTTGGACATAAATCTCAGCAATATATTTTTTGAACCAGCTCCTGGAGTAATGGAAATAAAAACAAAAATAAACAAATGAGATCTAATTAAACTTAAAAGCTTTTGCACAGCTCTGGATACCGTCAACAAGATGAAAAGATAACCTACAAAATGGGAGAAAATGTTTCTGAATGATAAGAATGACAAAGGACTAATTTCCAAAATATACAAACAGCTCATACACCTTCATATCAAAAAACCAAGCAACCCAGTCAAAAATTGGGCAGAAGACCTAAACAAACATCTCTCCAAAGAAGACCCACAGATGGCCAACAAGCACATGAAAAATGCTCAACATCGCTAATTGTTAAAGAAATGCAAATCAAAACTATGAGATATCACCTCACACCAGTCAGAATGGCAATCATTGAAAAGTGTACAAACAATAAATGCTGGAGAGGGTGTGCAGAAAATAGGACCCTCCTATACTGTTGGTGGGAATGTAAATTGATGCAGCCACTATGGAAGACAGTATGGATTTTCCTTTAAAAACTAAAAAAGACTTACCATATGATCTGGCAATCCCACTCCTGGGCGTAGACCCATAGAAAAATATAATTCAAAAAGACACATACACCCCAGTGTTCATAGCAGCACTGTTTACGATAGCCAAGACATGGAAACAACCCAAATGTCCATCAATAGATGACTGAATAAAGAAGTGGTGGTGTGTATGTGTGTATATATATATACACACACACACGTACATACACACACACACATGATGGAATACTACTTAGCCATGAAAAAGAATGAAATACCATTTGCAGCAACATGGATGGACCTGGGGATCGTCATTCTAAGTGAAGTAAGCCTGAAAGAGAAAGAAAAATGCCATATGATGTTGCTTATATGTGGAATCTGAAAAATAAAAGGACATAAATTAACTTATCTACAAAACAGAAACAGACTCAAAGACAGAGAACAAACTTATGGTTACCAGGAAGTAAAGGGAGTGGGAAGGGATAAACCGGCAATTCAAAAATTGCATCTCTTGGGGAGTGATGGAAATGTTAGCTATCTAGATGGTGGTAGTGTTTACATTCGTGTATACATCTATCAAAATCCATCAAACTATACTTTTGAAATATGTGTAATTTACTGTACAGGAACCATACCACAATAAAGGTGTTAAAAGAAAAAATAAAGAAATAGTATGTAAATACTAGGAGTGCCTGGCTTATAGTAGATACACCTAAAATACTACCTATTGCTAAGATGATGATGCTGTTGGCAGTTTTTTAGTGGGTTGACATTTCCCTCCCAAGTGCCTGAACAGCTTCTGCCATATCGAGGGAAGGCAGTCCTTTACCTCTGAATATGTCTCATCATGAGTGCTTAGCATGTTTGTTTTTGATAAAGTTAGTCTTTAAACTTCCCAAGATTCATAGGTGCATCTGTCATTGATGAAAATGAGAAAACTTGAATCTCACTACTTTTGTTTTCATTGGACTTAAAAGAAAGAAACAGAAGTGGAAAGTAACCCCATAAAGTGAATTGTGAGAGCTGGGCTTTTTCTGACAACTGCCCTGAGTGAGTCTGATCACAATGGAAAAGTGAATTTGACTTTTTAAGATCTCAGTCTCAAAGTGATGTCAAAGTCACTTTTAACTTTGTACATCCATGATTTGATGAAAAAGGTTAAAGATACTTTATTTTCATTGCCAAAATTAAAAAAAAATTACAGCATTAAGGAGCTTTCTGCTGATTTGATCCGGGAAGCTTCTGTTCATACTAATTGAACAAGTCCAGGGCAGTATTTTGTATAGAAGGACATTGCAACCTTTTGCCCAGGGATCAAGAAGAGAAATACGTGACTTGGAAAATACCAGATCGGAATTGAAACTGGAAACAATTGTAAGGAAGCTAGAGTGAGAGATTATCGCTTGCTTTTGGGATGATAGCTGGAGTCTTCAAGTCCATAGCACTTTGTACTCCCTTGAGGGTAACACTTGTCACATTTCAATATGGTAGTAATAGTAACAGTATATTGTAGTTCAGTTTGAAAGCTCTTTGAGGTTGGAGGCCTTTTCTGGGTTGTGTTTGTTTTCACCTCGCTGTCCCTTTCACCTGTAATAGGTCCTGGCACGTAGTATAGTCCCTCTCAAATATGCTAAATGGAAAAAAAAAAGAGTTGAATCAAAATCAGCAGACATTTAGAAAATGGCTTCTGCCTAAATACTCTTGATTGAACTTACTGAACCTCTTCTGTTGGCATATGATATTATAGAAAAACCTGGTAAAGTTGGGAAAGCACTCATCTTGTAGCTTTGAACGCCAGCTTTACCACTTACTGGCTATTTGATTATGGCAAGTAGTTTCACACTGAGCCAGGTTTTTGTCTACAAAATGGCGGTGGTGTGGGGGGCTTTGAGAAACAGCGTACATAAAACATTAGCACTTAATAGTGGTAGATGCTTTTATTACAAATGGATGTTTTAAATGTTATCAGCAGTATATTTTGCACTTCTGCTTGAGGGAGGAATATGTTTTTTTAGGGAAGTTTGTTTGCTATGGCTTGAGTACGTGGGAGAATTATCCTCTCTTGCAATTTTCTGCTGAAAAGAAATCATTTAGCATTTCTTCCTCTGTGAGCCCACGGGATGGTTCCCTGGAGGAGGCAGAGAGGGGGATGGGATCCTAGAAGAATTGCTAAAGACCTTGCATTTTTGCAGATCTCTTTGGGATGCTACTTCTGTATTGCTCTCACTGAGCGCACCTGACTCAGCTGTCAGACATTAGCATGGTAGACATTTGTCAGATTTACCCCAGTCAGAAAATATTCTATATTTACCATCCAACTTGGCGCTTAAAGTTTTTTTTTGTTTGTTTGTTTGTTTTAGTTCTCTGTGATGTAGTGATGATAAGTGAGAAAGGTAGGCTGCAGGGTAATGTGTAGTATATATGATCCCATTTTGATGCAGAAAACAAAAACTTGCATGCATGCATGTTTGTATGAGCAGTGAGCTTGCATGATTATCTCAGGAGGGTAGGAATGGGAAGAGTAGGGAGGGAGACTGGCTATAGACTGTTGTTTTACTTGTTACAAGAAGCACGTGTTACCTTTGTGTTACCTTTTTTTCTAATCCAGCTTTTTATTTTGAGATAATTGTAGGTTTACATGTGGTTATAAGTAATAGAGAGATGCTGTGTGCCCTTTACTGAGTTTCCCCTAATGGTAACATTTTATAAATATTACATAGTACACCATCACAACCTGGATACTACCATTGATACAGTTAAGATACAGAACATTTCTATCCCAAGGAATCTCTCCTGATGCCCTTTTATAGACACTCCCACCCCCAAATAATAATGATCCAAATAGTGGAGTGCATAAAATCGCAATAAAGCTTTTGCATAGAGAATCAAGGGAAAATACTCCTGGGTATAGCTAAGTGGTAGAGCACATGCTTAGCGTACACAAGGTCCTGGGTTCAATCCCCAGTACCTCCCACTCCCCCAGCCCTGTCTGTTATCCTTGGCAACCACTAATCCATCTCCCTTTATCATTTCAAGAATGTTACATAAATAGAATCATATGTTATGTATCCTTTTGGATTGGCCTTTTTCACTCAGCATAATTAGCTAGAGTCATCCAAATTGCATGTATCAGTAGTTCCTTTCTTTTTAATTGCTGAGTAGTATTCCACGGTTTGGATGTACCTCCTTTTGTTTAATCACTTGCCCAGTGAAGAACATCTGAGTTTTTTCTCACTTCATGGCTATTATGAATAAAGCTGCTGTGAACATTTGTGTACAGATTTTTTTGTGTGAATATATGGTCTCTGGGATAAATGCCTACGAGTGCAATTGTTGGGTCGTATAGTATGTATTGCCTTTTTAATTTTTTTAATTGGAGGTACTGGGGATTGAACCCAGGACCTTGTGTAAGCTAAGCATGTGCTCTACCGCTTAGCTATACCCACCCCCCTGTATTGCTTTTTCAAATTAAAAAGAAAAAACAAAAAATTAGAGGTATAACAACTAATTATATGATTCCTTTTCAAAGTACATATTCAAACGGTACATTCTTGGTGCACATAACTTATTTACCTTGATTTCTGATGCTTTGTTCTAGCATCAAAACAATAATAATAATGCTATGGTTTTCCTTGACTCTTTCAACTGATAATCTGTGTATATATTGCATGTAATAATTAGCACTCAGCCTACTAGGAGGCAGGCAAGTAATGGTTAACGCTGGTGAGGACAGCTCCTTTATAGATAGGGGGGTTGAAAGGTTGAGGCATGGATGTTATGGAATTTGCCTGAGGTTATACCATGAGTCACTGTGTTCTGACTCAGATTCATTCAGACTTATTCATTCTCTCTCTGTCTCCTGAATTAACTCTTTATAATTATGACCTAGGTGTGAGGACACAAAAAGAGGGTTTTTTCTTTTTCTTTTTTTAAAAAAATGTTTAAATTGAAATACAGCTGTTGACAATGTTGTATCAGTTTCTGGTGTACAGCATAGTGATTCAGTTATGCATATATATATTCCTTTTCATATTGTTTTTCATTATAGGCTACTACAAGGTAATGAATATAGTTCCCTGTGCTATACAGTGGGACCTTGCTGTTTATCTGTTTTATATATAGCGGTTAGTATCTGCAAATTCCGAATTCCCAATTTATCCCTCCACACCGCCCCCATTTTCCCCTCTGGTAACCACAAGTTTGTTTTCTTTGTCTGTAAGACTGTTTCTATTTTGTAAATAAGTTCATTTGTCTCATTTTTTTAGATTCCACATGTTAGTGATATTACATGATGTTTTTCTTTCTCTTTTTGGCTCACTGAAAGGTTTTTTTTCCCCTGTATCTGAGGTTTAATGCTTGTTTTATAGAAGCAATATAGTGTGATGATTTGAGTATGTGCTTCGGCAACTGATTTGATTTTGAATCTCTCTTCCACGTGGGCAAATCAGTCAACCTCTCTAAGCCTCAGTTTTGTGATCTGTGAAATGGGGATAATGATAGTAGCTATCTTTATAGTGTCGCTGTGAGAAGTGAGATGATGTGAGGAAAGTGCT